TAATGGTATGTATCATATACAAAATCTTTAAATAATTTGTAAATGAAAATATTTTCCGTTTTAACAAAGTACTTATCATCTTCTTACTATACAGACTTTATTTTCAAAAAACTTTTATTATCCGTACTGAATTAAAATTATTAATTATATATATGATAAATTTCAATTTTCTTCATCATTAATATAGATATTTTCTGTATCTCTTATTTAATTGAGGCATTTTTGTTTTTCAGTTAATGTATTATTAAAAACCGAAAAGTATAATTCAGACATAAAAAACATGACTAAGAAAATAGAAACAGATTTATCTTCATATCGAGACAATAAAATTGAAAAAATACTAATATGCTTCTCCGTTTATAGAAATACGAGAGAAATATTTAATACAAAACTAAATGCCGATGAAATACCTCTCATTCACGGGTTAAAATTTTTAACTATGTTATGTATAATTTTCATCCATACTTTTTTTTCTCAGCAGAATTTGCCAGTAAGTACTTTACAATATTGGAACGGTAAACATTTTAAGATCTGCATAATAGAATTTATTTTGTGAATGCAGATAATAAAGGATGGTTTCTGAGATATAGTGGCAGCTTTTGGATTAGTCTATTTGATATTTCATTTCTATCAGTCGATATTTTTTTTCTTTCGAGCGGTTGTTTAGTGACCTATTTGTATCTGAGAAATAAAACGGACAAAGAATTGATTAAGCCAATTGGTTACAGACAAAAATTAATTACTTTTTCTGTATATATGATAAAAAGATATATCCGGTATGTATTACCTCACTTCGATAATAAGATAATATCAATAAAATGTTTGTTAAATATTTTTTTTATTTAATTAATAAATATAATTAATAAATTAATTAATAACGGTTAAATTATGATATTTTTATAACAGTATGTAAAATATTATGTTACTTTATGTTGATTGATATCAAATAATACAAAACAACGTAATAGCAACGTTATTCTTTAAAAACAATTATAATTGAATATTATTTAGAAAAGTACAGTAATTGGGAAAAAATTTTTAATTTTATTTTGTGATCCAATGTAATTTATTTTTATTTCTATAATTAGAATTTTATTTTAAGGCTAACTCCGACTTACATAATGACATTAGGAATATTCTTATTAAGCTCAATTAAGTTGCATAACACTTCACAATTTTATATGTATGA